ATTTGTAACCCCCCCCCCCCCCCCCGCCTCTGTCCAGAAACTGAAATCACTGCTTCAGAAAGGCCTCATTGTGGGTGATTAGTTGAGGGAAAATACTGAGGGAGAGTGTGCAAAAAGTACACAGGCAAACAGCTTAATGCCACATAAGGAACGGAAAAGTCCCAACTTCATTGGTATCTCAAAGGGACATTAACCATAATTATGTCACTAGCAAATACTCTTCTTTACAAATCTGCTCTAAAAATAACAACACTGAAATTACTTCATCAAGCATGAAATACTCTCTTTTAAGAAGAGTCTTCCCTGCTATGTTTTATCTCAGACAGCAGTAGCTTAAGAAAAGTGAATGGTCTGAGATGTTTTGCTGTATGTGCTCCTGTGTTTGGGAAAAAATGTCTATATCAAGGATTCCAGCATTAGATCCAAAAACCCTTTCTGGAATGGTTCTTTCTTACATCATGTTTCACAGTTCATCTAAGACCATGTACATGATAGAATTGCAGCACCAAACTGGTAGTGACAGTTTTTAATGCACTATACCTCCTTTTTTCCCATTGATTTTGCAACTGTTTTTTTTTTTAAAAAAAATTTAGTAAAAAAAGAAAGTCTGTTGAACTTTTGGCATAAAACTGTGGCTGCTACTGTAGCTAAACTGCTGCTAAGTGTCTAGGTGATAAAAGCCTTCTATGCCTGTCACTCTGAGCAACACCATTGTCAGAAAAATGTATGCAACTTTTTCCAGTAAGGATAAGGACTGTGATAACATTAGCATTTAGGCAAGACGTTGCGCTGATGATTGTGAAATGCATTAATGGATGTGTCACTATTTTAAAAGAGCATATCTAATGGATTGTTTATATATGCTGTCTCACTGTACTCATTTATTCATTTTATAGGATATTTTAAACATAAAATCGCACAGATCAAAGTAGAACTCTCCTGTGAGCTGCTCACCTCAAGGACTTGCATTCAACAGAACCAGTTCCCTGCCAGCTGTGTACAGCACTGAAGGAAAATGGACATACTGAACAGCCGCCACGTTTTGTACTTTCTGCCTACCACACGCCTTGTCATCTTATTAGCAGCTTTGACCACTGCTGAGGATGTGAGTAACAGCACTTTCAACCGCACTGACACACACACGGGGGCCGCGCCTGTGGTGATCTCCCGCATCGACCACATCATAGTCAAGGAGGGCAGTAGTGCCTTGATCGACTGCAATGTCCAAGGGAGTCCCAGTCCACGTTACAGATGGTACAATTCCAATGGCCGCCTGCTCCAAGAGGAGGAGAATAAAGGTAGGATCTTAGTAATAGCACTGATGTAGCCTCTCCAGAAACACTTCTGATTTCAGCAAGTTGACAAATAACCTGAATTTAATGGCTGGGCTGTGGTATTTTCCTGTGTGAAAAGAAATGAAAGCCTGGTGGCAGTTATAAATTTTTTATGCACACCTTGGAAGAAAACAGTAACTTTTTATGTGTTATTTATAGCAAGACAAAGCAAGAAGCTGAAGCAATTAACAGAAGGTGTAGACAGACCTCTTTTCATTGGAAGACTTCTGGTTTGTTCCTGTTTCTCATTCTGTCCTCCTTTGTTCTTCTCTGGCACCAAAAAAAGATTAAAAAGCTGTTTCCCAGCTTAAAGGAGGATTCTCATGACATATGAGAATAGTTTGTTGGCCTGAACTCAACACAGCTAACTCCATAATATGCCTGCTGTCTTTATGTGCAGTGCCATGGTAGTGTAAAAAATAGGAGGTGCTCTAACCAACCAAGGGCAAAACCTATATAGGGCATCAGTCAGAAGGACAAAACAAATTTGAGCCTCCCTGGCTTTAGTTAAGACTCTTCAGTAGCATTTGACAGAGATCATAATTACACATGAGCTTGTTTTCCTTAAATGGAATGTTTGGGTGATAATCCTAGTTATACTTCTTGGGAGTGTTTGAGGGGAATGTGGATATATGAGAGGTGTTTTTCTCATGTAATCCTTCCATAGTGACTGCTTTGTTCACTGCATGATGAAATAAACTCTTAATTGTAAGATAGCGTGCCTAACTAATGGCTGATGTGACAGAGGACTCTGCTGTGACGGGAGTAACGATTGACCCAGCTTGACATGAAAGAGCAGTGTGTATCTGTAAGAGCTTTCTGCATAACTAGTTATGTTTTACAGCACAGCATGTTATCATTATCTGAGTAAAGCTAGAGAAAGGAACTGCTTGAGCTACTAAGCAGACTTTTGAGCATGATTTGTGTGGTTGTGGCAACATACAGCAATTAATGTGCTGGAGTGTTTTGCTAAGGTTCACTAATAGAAAATATCCCCTTTAGTTAGGCATCTAAATTTAGGTCTTTGTGTAGTCAGCTGAGAGAGGTAGCTAAAACAAACATTTAGGTAGGCAAGCAAACACTTTGACCAAATCAGTAAAAAGTGCAGATGTAATATTAGGACAATTCATTTTAATTTAGAATTTCAGCAGTGCAATGCCTCCTTTAAGAGACTGTCTTTCTATAAGAAATGTTTCCTACCTTGAGCCCTTTCTTTGTGGTGTTAAATATGGCATTGAATTGTTATCAAACCCATCAATACCTTTTCCAATCATTGTTTTCTTATATGGGTCAATATGTCTGTCAGGATCCACTGGCACAGACCCAGTGAATCTATGAGTCACAGTTCAATGCCATTATGTCATTTATAATAGCTGGAGCCAGGATACATCACAAGACATCTTGTCATTTCACAATTAATAGAAACCTACTTTGCAAAAAGGACCAGCTTTCCAATTCAAAGAAATACTGAGCAGTGACTACTCTGCATTTTTTGTTATGCTGGAGGTGGAGGAAGTGTCATCTGTTGCAGATGCTAACATTTCCTCTGTAAAGGAGTTTTCCTCTGAGTTTGCGTAACTTTAGCAGGTTGTTGTGATTTTTTTTTAATGTGAATGTTGGATTTACACTAAGCTTTTATTTATTCTGCATTTTTTAATTGCAGGCAAAATGATTCAGCTGTTTTCAAGAATTAATGTAGGGTAAAAAATATTGTTTCAGTTAAGTTAAAACTTCTAAGTAAGAGGATAAAAAGATGTAATTAAGAGCTATCTGTACACATGGACTGAGGCAGGGATCTTGTGGGAATACTTTCTACATAGGTTTCTACTAGAGATAATGTAAAAAAACCAATTTGGGTTAGCCATGTTTAATTAAAAAAACTTTGAACATGGTAAAATCCCATAACTACTCTGAATTAAAGGGCTTGTTAACTAATGAGTTTCATAATTTCCCACAGTTCCTTCCTTGAAAGAAATAAGGGGGAAAAAGCCAGAAAAATCTTTCTAATAATGAAAGAACTTCTGTGAAAAGGATAAAATAAATAGAGAAGTGAGGTATACACCAACCTCCTGCAGTCCTGCCTTGTGATTTACATGATTGCACAGGGATTTTGTGCATGTTTAGCTCTCTCATTACAGGTTCTGTGTCTTTTTCAGCTGCCTTAATAGACTTAAATAGCAGTTGGTTAGGTTAGGTTTAAGGAGAAAAAAATCTGTTGGTAAAGAGAGGTGAACACCTGACATTCCTTTTCATGGAACATTATTTAAATTCCTTTACTACATTAAGCAAATATCTGTCAGGAATGGCTTGGGATTGTGTTACAGAGACTGTTGTGTTACTGAAAACAGTTGAGTGTCCTCTGTGGAGCAGTATGTACTAGCTGATCTTGTTGGCTTATATCAGCCTTTGTTATTGCTTCAAAAGGAAATCTGTATGACATCTCCCTGTATGTAGTGTTCAGAAGGCACAGAGGCATTCCACTTTCTGGCTGTTCTCCACCATGTGAACACTTCCAGGAGTAGGTTTACACAAAGGAAATAAGTGACACCAGGCTTTCCTGATTGAGTTGACTTACATTTTTTATAGCAAAGTTGCAATTTAAGAAGTTATATCACACCAAATAAAGAAAAAAGATACATCCTCAGCTCTTAAATAGTGTAGTGATATTTGAATAAAAATGAAGTTCACTTGAGGATGTAAAAATCTTAATTCATTACCTATATATAGTGGCAAATAAATAAATAAGTAAATAGGTGAATCTTGAATCACTTTAGTGGTGACAGGAGTGATGGCTTTTTAACATGTTGTTTCAAACGCAGTTTCATACCTGAACTGTTCTGCTGTGCCAGGTTCAAAGAATAGGAAGTGTTCATGCACATGAAATATATATGTCCATGCAGAGGACAAAGTTAGCAATTATATTACATTGAAAGAAATTACCTTTAAAGGCAAAAGAAGTTCTTTTGTGGTGTGTAGAGGTTCTTACCAACAAACAAAGTGTTCCCTGTCATGGCTCTTCTCCTTCCCATCTATTTTACTCCTCCTATCCTACTTCCCTCTCTTTAAAATCATACTTCATAATCAGTTAATCAGCCTCAGAGGGCAGGCAATGTAGTATATTATGTCTGAAATGTTAGGGGGTTTAAAGTTTACGTTAACAGAATTATATAAGATACTGTTACAAAACACCAAAAATAACCCAATTGTATGCAAATGCATTGTCAGGGAACAAAATAAGGAGGGTTTTCTGCCTCATAATCCCATTGATCCTGTTCTTTGAGGAAGTGTGACCTGTGTTTGGGTGGCTCTCTGGAGTAGTCCTATCTTTGTAACTTAACTGACCACAAGATTGAGATAGATGTGAAGCATATTAGCACTTTTTAATGAGACCCTTTTAGGGCATGCTCTGACTACCCAGAGTTGATGTCAGGGATTTGATAGTAACACAGCTAGGATCTCAGGCCTTTATGATGGTAAATTCTTTTTCTTCTCATGAACATTATTTCCTTCTTCCAAAACCTGAAGCCAGTTTGATAAAGCTGATGTTTAATACTGTTCTGATCTTTTGGCAAAACACTTCTAAGTTACTCTGTTTCCTCTCCAACAGGAAAATGGTGGTTTCTTGACAACGGGCTACTAAACATTACGCGCGTGTCATTTGAAGACCGAGGTAAATACACGTGTGTCGCATCTAATGCGCATGGCAGTGTTAACAATACTGTGACACTAAGGGTTGTTTTTACCTCTGGAGATATGGGAATCTATTACATGATTGTCTGCCTTGTTGCTTTTACCATTGTTATGATACTGAACATTACTCGGTTATGTATGATGAGCAGTCATCTGAAGAAAACTGAGAAAGCAATCAATGAATTCTTCAGAACAGAAGGGGCAGAGAAACTTCAGAAGGCCTTTGAGATTGCAAAGCGTATCCCAATTATCACATCAGCCAAAACGCTCGAGCTTGCCAAAGTAACCCAGTTCAAGACCATGGAATTTGCTCGCTATATTGAAGAGCTTGCTCGAAGTGTACCTTTGCCACCTCTCATCATGAACTGCAGGACTATAATGGAAGAAATTATGGAGGTTGTTGGTCTGGAGGAGCAAGGACAGAATTTTGTACGGCAGGCGGCAGAAGGCCAGGAAACCACTGAAACAGATGAGCTTTATATGATCCCAAATGCTTTGACACGCAGTGAATCTCCCACAGCTGACTCGGATGCATCGTCACTGCATGAGCCACCTCAACAGATTGCAATAAAAGTGTCAGTTCATCCATTGTCCAAAAAGGACTGCATGGATGGTCAGTCACAGGAAAGCATGCAGCTGGACACCAAGGAAGAAGACACTCCTCAAACACCAGCACTTCCCGCAGAGCCCCCTCCTGAGCCTTCTGCTGAACTGAGTTCTGATGACACAGCATTGGCAAATGACAAAAATACATGTGTTATATATGAAAGCCATGTATGATAGTTACTCCTGAATCTATGCATAGCAGGAAAATCAGGTGGAGCTCTTTTAAAAATACATATTGTACTTGCCGCTAAGCCTTACCTGGAGACTATCATAGCAAAAGCATGTAAGTGGATTATTTGGCACTTTCTTCTCAGTTTGAGTTTAGTTTACCACGATGTATGGCAGAGTAATTGCTATTACATTAATATTAATTGCTCTTTTTGATTAGGAATATTTCCAAAAAACATTTACCTCAGCATTTTCTAGGTTGGAGTCACCTGAGTGGCCTCCTGGAGGTCACTGGTAGTCTTTGATGTAGGACACTTGAACTTACTAAACACAAAATTGTTTTCCATTTTCCTCCTTCACTCTTGTTATTTCCATCTATTGCATTTTTGCAAATATTAACTTGTGAATTTGAAATATTGCCCAAGAGGCAGCGCTCCAGTAGCCAAATAAAATCCTAATAGATCCCATTTACAAAGCCTGTTTGCTCAGCTGTATTGTGATTTAGAGGACTATTAAAAAAAGTTAAAATGTTTCTATTTCATTTGAGACCACACTGCTTAGCCACATGGGAAATAGTTTTCCCTTTTTTGTGGAATGAAGATGCCAACAATGGTTTATTTTTCATAAAGAAACATCTTTGAGGTTTATATTACAGATGGGAAAGCCTGTAAACATCTTACAGAAAGTTGCAGTCCAACAGCTCTGCAGGGTTTTTTTGCGTACATTTGAACATTTTCTATGTTGCCAGAACTTTATATGGCAAACAGCTGCAAATATGCAAGATGTCTTGTTTTGAAGTTATTTAGAAGCAGTAACTATGTACTACCTTAGCAGAAGATATGCAGGTTCTATAACAGTCCTGCAAATCCTGCCAGTAATCAGTTGATGACATGGCTGAAATGGCAAAATACCCTCTTATTTGGCTTCTTAATTTTGAGCAAATTCATATATTCTAAAGATCAAGCCTAAATTCATCAGAGTTTGATGATCAGTCACTCATTTAAGAGTGTTGTATCCAAACTGAAAAAAAAATATAATCAAGTGTCCTATAAAATTACAAAGACAGTCATGCAAACTGTTAAATGTAATGTAATTGCATTAAGATTTTGAGAACCTCCTACGTGTAGGATGTTCACTGCTCGACTACATGTGACTCTGCCCCAGTAAAGCTTTAATGATCGCAGCAGTTTTGGCATTAAAAAGTATCAACATTTCTGCCAGGAAATGCTGGGAGTGGAAAGGAAGTGATAATTTCTCTTGCAGATAGACAATAAAAATACCTTCTCTGCAATGAGTCTGGAAAGAAAGCATTTACAAGGAGTTTGTGTAGGGTTAATAGCATATTACTTAATTACCTGACACATTTAGTTTGGAACTAATGAACAAGTGTTTAAGAAGGATTCTAGTATAAATATAGATACTTAAAATCAATCTGGAATCAAATATATTGTAGAAAAAGATGTCTCTTAGGTCTATGGGGAGATGCTGCATGGATGGCTCTCTGGACATTTTAACGAAGCAGCCACATCTCCATAAGGTGTCTGTTGGAGGCAATCAGTTATATTAACTGTACGGTTAATCAAGACCAGACAATGTTGCAGGTACCTAAAAGAACCCTTGATAATGAACTGAGGTCTTTTGCCAACTTCCTCATGTTAAAGCGCAGAGCCTCGCCAGCAGTGCAATACAAGAATACCCCATAAATTTCATAGGTGATGCAGAGAAGGCTCCATATTTATCTTTCTGTGGTTGTTAAAAAAAATCTACATGTTTAATAATGGACTTCAGATTTTACAATGAACTTGTGAGAAATGGCAGCATTCAGATGTCTCGTATTTTTTAATTAACCACAGTGGCGGGTTTCTATACAAAATGCATTTGCACATTCCCAAAAGGAAACATGCAAGGGCAAAGTCCGATTAGGAATGTGACTGGAAATATTTGTGTTCCAGTGAAGCAATATAAATGTAAGACAGAAGTTAGTTTAAGAGAATACCATATAGAACCTCACTTCTGACCAGTGTGACTGACAATAGTATGATTCAAACTGTTAACTTCTTGTCTGAATCCAAAGGACATTTCCGTTTAGTGTTCACATCAGTTTTTCAAGTCACTTGATTTGCTTCTGATATGAAAAAGGACAAGGGCAGGAACAAAAGCTGGAACTTGCACTAAACTCCTTTAATTCACCTTAACCTCCTAAGAAGAGGTACGTTGATGTTTCTGCCTGTTCAGCATTTACAAACAATGCCCATGCATTCTAAAGTTACCTACCTGGTGCCCAACTAAGATTGCACAGATAAGCAAGGATGTTCTCCTTGGAAGCATAAAAATAACTTTTAAATTACATTTAAATTTTTTTAAAGTTATAAAAATATTTATTACAGTATTTTTATTTTAATCTTTTTTAAACTATTAAGCTTTTACAATAGAGATCACACCCCTTCATGTATTTCTATGGTGTTCTGACCCTGACTACTTCTCTCAGGCTGTCCCCCAGCCTCTTTATTATTTATTTATTGAGAAACATTTGAGAGCAAACAATCCCCATGGATTTCTTCATTATTGCTGTGTAAACTTCCTTGAAGATACAAATGATGTTTTTCCTTAGAGGCTGCCCACAAAGGAAGCATTTGAAGTACACATAAATGCACATTGCAAACCACGTATAAGCAACAGGTACTTGGGTTAGATACATGAAATACATGGAGTGCTGGATTCCTGTTGTTGCAAGGTCAAAGTGAACCCTGAATTTTCTAGAGCTGGAGTCACTCAGAGCTGAGAGTTCACAGATAGGACTGCTCCAACCAGTCTGGACATTTAGCTTTGTGTTATTATTGGAATAAAAACTAAACAGCAATGTAGCTGAAGAAAATACAGATTTTATACAGAACCGATGGTTCTGGTTTATTTGGGGTTTTTTGGTGGTTTTGTGTCTGCTGCTCAGTGTCTTATGCATCCATTATATGACACTTATAAGCCTAAAGCTTTTTATACACTTTCAGGAACTTCCTTTGTGGAAGACAGATGGGAAGCAAGACCCAAACCTGTCTTTCCTATTCCAAACTTTCTGACTGTGCTATAATAAAGTAGTCAATTGTGTCTTGCAGTATTTCTTAGCAATTGGCTACCTTATAGTCCAAAAACACAATTTACAAACATAAAATTAACAATGACTCTAAGAAAACATTAATATTTGTGTTGTTACATATTTTCATGCACCTTAAGCACTTCAGGGGTATTAATCTGTTCCTGTCATTGGACTATGCACACTTTTTGTTACGTTTTTCTATTTACAGTACCACCAAACACCAATGGTTCTTAAAACACTCAGAATCTGGAAAATCCAGTCCAACTGAAATTGCATTCTAAAAGCAAAGGAACATCAAGCCAGGCTAAATAAGGAAAAGAGATTTGCACAATATATTTACACCATTTTCAAACATTTTTGCCAAACTTCATGAAAGATGACTAGAGTGCTGCAGCAGAAGAAATCAGTGTTGGATTTTAATTTTACACTTAATATTCTTTTCTCAGTAAGTGTAAGACCATACTAATCAGACCACTTAAACACAGGAGTCATTATCTCTTTTCTCAACATTTTCTTTTTGAGCAGCATTTGTTTACTGCTGAACGTTTTTTTGTTCTCTGATTTGATCACATTTGTGATGAAACCTACCCTTCAGTTATTTTTTGTCTGTCATATAAAAAATTAAAAGAACCCATAGACCAGCATTTTTGTGCAGGTTTGTTGGTACTTGATAAGGCACAGAAGTACACTCCTGTGCTTAAAAATTACTGTATAATCATAAGACTTGCAAAATGGCTTACACGGGCAGATGTTGATTTTTTTTAAAATCAGTGCCTGTTTTGTTCTAATGTAGATAGTATGTCAGTTCCTTGATTTGCAGTTACCTTTTGACAAAAGTACTGTAATATATAACCAGGGCTTTCTGACTTTCAGTTTGGTCAGATGAACTAATTCTAGAAAGTGTTAACAGTATCAGATTTTCAAAGTTCTCATGGGATAACTTGGCAGCATGCTATTTTAAGAGTTGGCCTCTTAAGTATGCCATATTTAGTGGGACAACTGAAAGCTTCTTAGATGCAAAGGAAATGCTTGCACTAAAGTATCGTAAGTTATATTTCATTTGTTATGAAATTCTTTTTTGATTTTACAAGAAATGTAAGACAAATATGAATGTGTTCTTTTGAGAAGCATTTGCTGTATTTTGATTTAAATAACTGTTATGATTTTATAGCTCACGGCCGTAAACCACAAAGAGAAAAGTTCATGCTGAAGTGGCAAAATGAAATGTGATGTAGCTTGTACATTGATCATTGTTTCAATAAAGAATTTGCACAGAGTATGCTGAGTTTGTACACATTCAACAAAATATTTATGGTACCACAACACCACTTTCCCACAGAAATGGATACTTAATAGCCTACATCCTGCACTAATTTGGAATAACCAGATCAAACCTTTCCTATGTCCATTTTTTTCTCTCCCTGTCTTACATCCCTATGCTTTCTTCTGTCCCTAGCAGCTCTGATGTGCCACTTCTCAAATAAGAACAGAATGAAGTTAGTTGTCAGGACAAGTGTTTCTGCACCCCAGGCACCTCTGTTCCAAACTGACCTTTTTATAAGTCCCCAAATGGATATTTTCCCCCTAGCTGTACCAGGCTCTAATGCTGTGTACTATATTTAGATCTCCAGCTCCCAGGCCCAAACTAAGTCCTTTTACTCTTCCAGTAAAGGCTGATTTGTGAATCTATGGTATGTGTAAGTCTGTCAATTGGGAAAAGACAGTAATGTAAACTGTAGCTAAGTTACCGATTTCTTATTCAAAATCAGAATGTATGGCAGAAAATGATTAATGTGGCAGACTTATGACACTGATGTTATGAGAAGCTATTTCATACAACAAGACAAGGCAAAAATGAGAAAAAAAAAAGCCAACCTTGTGTAGCATAAAGAAAACATGTAAAACCTTGCTTATGATTGAGTAGAAGTTCAGCATTACCATAAAATTATTTTGCCTTTCTATAGCCAGTTTCTATTTTGAGATCAGATTCCTGTTACATCTACTCTAACCAGAACCTTTCCTATGTGGCTAAGGACCTTAGGCATAACAATAGTACCAGAGTTATCAAAAAGAGCCTTTTCTCCCTTATCTGCCATTTTAAAAATTATTTTCAAGACTATTTAGCTATGTATCAAATGCCATTCACAGACTACCACCCTGTCCTGTTGTGGAGCCACAGAGTTTGAGATTTCATGTTGAAGATGCAGAAGCTGGACCTTCTGAAATATATTTGCCTTCTTTTGTACAGGTTTTGATCTTACCACACAATAAACCATTCTTATTTATTAACAATTCAGGCCCGGTCATTCTCAATTGATAAATACAGAGAAGCAAAATAAATGCCAGAAAGACATTCCTCTTTCTGAAGCCTCTTATTGCTTCAGTCAAGATTAGCCCTGATTGACAGACAGCTACTGAGTTATCTGGGCATCATTTAACTCCTTCCTGCTGGTGAACACTACCATAGTCAGAAAACAGAATTCCAAAAAGAAAAATAAAATACCAGCCAGAAAAAGAAGCTCCCTTCTAAGGAGACATGCATAGATCTTTCCTATTTAAAATGCTTTGTTATCCTTCTCTCTAATATGTGCAGAGTAAACAGCCTCAGGAAAAGGCAGTAAAAAATAGAGAGAAATTTAGGAAGATTAAGATGGAAATCTCCTTTGCTCACTGAAAACATCCAGAGGTGATTTATCTTCAAAGTATATTAAATTCTAACTTGTTTTACCATAAACATGCTCAAGTGAAGAAAAAGGAGATTCCTGAAAACAATGACATTTTCACTCATCAAAGCAAATTATCACAGAACTATGAAACATATTTCCCAGTCTTTCGCTTAGAATGTCTTTTATCAGGGAAGATATTTCCCATCCTTTTTATGGTTTTTATGGTTCTGCCTAGGTGACAGCATCTTCTTTATGGGTTTAGTGGAAGTGCATTTCTTTTCTGCTGTCTTCTTGGTTAAATATTCTCTACCCTGTGTGATCTCCTTTTGTGAGATCAAAAAAGAATTCAATATTCCATTGAAGATTTATCTTCTCGTTTCATTTTTCCAGTCCAAAACCTTATTTTGCATTCTGTTTTACTGCTTTGATTTATTTTTTTGTTTGTTTGCCTTAAAATTCTTCACATTTTAAAATAAATCAGAGGATTCTAGTGTTTTTTTTTAAGTTGCTTGCTTTGGGGCAGGATTGCTCACACCTATACATATAATTCAATTTTAATTATGGAGACATACAATTAACTACTTCCAGGTTGGTGCAGGATGAACTAATCAATAGACTGCAGCAGGTTTTTTTGCTGAACAGCATCAAGAGAACAGGTAAATCCATAATTCCCAAGACACAAGTGGAATAAATGTCATCATTCATTTGTGAGTCTATGGGCATGTTATGTTCCTTTGTGTGTTCATCTGAAAAAAGTAATATATGATAAACCTCTGCCTTAACACAATTCTTTTCCCATCACGGATACAATAGCACATTTGCATCATCCATACATCAGTTATCCACTACCTTGATTGGTTTATTTTACTCATTGGATAGCTGGCCAAATGCAAGGGCCTCTCTAAATTTGGTACTTCTGAAGAGACTGCAGACAGCTTCAGGACATTATGTAAATCAAGTGAATTTCAAATTAATTGATAAATGCTTTTCCACTTTTTTTTTTTAACTGAAATGCTGTATTTCTATATAGGCTAATATTTACACACTAATGGAGTCTAACTAGAAACTCAAATTTTCATAAGCATGCAGGAAAATGACAGTAATCTGCTGCTGAATAAAACTGGTTTTTGCAACTACAGTTTCTACATTTCATAATCCCCGTGTAATCTCTCTTAAGCACAGAGCTCACTCTTTAATATATGTGCCCCAAAAGAGGTGAAAGGATCCAAATCTCTTTTATTCATGTAGACTGCATCAGACTACTAGTTATTTTATTAGAACATATAATAGACCTAGTCTGACACAGTAACTCCTGTTTCAGTTACCAGAAATAGTCCCAGAGCATTAGCCAAATGTTATATGATACACCACTACTGGGAACTATGTTCCTATTCTACACGAATTCTAGAAAAGAAACTTCAGAAAAAACCCATCTCTTCTCAGCAGGGAAGCAGGGAATGAAAGCCTCTGAAGGACTTAAATTTCACATGTTCTTCAGTGGAAAAAATAAAACCCCACTGAAATTGCAGGAAATGATTGAGGACCTTGTAAAACTGATGCAGGAGCAAAAAATATCACTCAGGAGACGAGGTCACTGCAGCACAGAAGCTCATCCCAATAGTCAGATGTCAGTTGTCAGACAGTAGCTACAGACACTTCTCAGGGTAATCCATGATATTGTGAGGAGGCAAACATTGTCATAGATCATGTAAATTAGCAGAATCCAGAAGACAATGGACAGTGTTGCAAGATGCAATTCCCAGACTGCTCAGGTGATTGTGCCGCCTCTGAAACTCAAGCCCTTTTCCTGACTAGAGATGGACACTGGGAGCATCACCAAAGACACTGTGCTGTGGTGGTGGAGTGTGACCTTTGATTGAGAACCCTATTCTTCCCTTCCGGCTTGATGTTGTGATCAAAGTGCCCACGCCTTCTTTATTTGCTGTAGCACTACATTATAATAGGGACTAAACATGGGCTCATCAGTGAGGCAACTGCTGAAGACCCTGTGAGTGCATGAGGAAAGAGCTGTACTGGCAGGTGTGAGCTTACCTTTGTATTGTACCAAAGACTTTCCCAGAGGCCTGCCAGCATTCAAGTGGGAAAGGACTATGATGCTGTGCATTTGGACAAATCTGGTGCAGACAAGAACAGGTGGGTGGGAGTGAGCTGGAGGCAGCCTAGGACAGTCCGATAGACATGGAAGATGACCATCCCACGCTTGTTACTGGAAAACACCTCCAGCAAAATCATCTCCCTGTCCCTATCCTCTCTAGTCTAAAGAACGATGTCACATTTTGGCAGCTCCTTGTCCTACCTATTCTATCTCTGACCAACCAGATTTCACTTCCTATTGAGCAGCTACAAGGTTGTCTAATCCTAATAGATGTTTGCTGTGGCTCTCCTTGCCTTGCCTCTCCCTATTATTTATTTACAAGAAGGCATGGGATTCATTTGCCAGCACACATGTAAAAAGCTGGTCCTCAGAGACCTAACAGACTGACTACTCTGTTCCAAAGGAGGATATGCAAAAGCTAGGCACATAAAGATGAATTAATAGATTTAAAGCCTCTGTCTGGTTAAGCCCTGTCTGTTTATTCATCTTCTCATTCTGTAATGGAAGAATGCTGGCCAAATAAACAAAGTACCACATGACCTATTGCTGTGTTTTAACAGTGTTCTGTATTCTTTATTTTAACCTGTAAAAATTGAGTAGTGAAAGGTTAGAGAGCACAGATTCCAGACTTAATCACAACATTTTCTTCTCACCATGACATAAACTCTATTCTGTGTCTATTCGCTATTTGCAGAACAAAGACAGGATATCCTAGAAAAATCAATATTTTCTCAGTGATGGTGGCTGTCCTCAGCTTGCCTCCAGGTAACACAATGAAAGGTTTTAAGAAAATGTCAGTTAGCAGAATTTATAGCAAACGCTTTTGATCAGGTTCCTTGTTTGGAAAATTACTACAGTAAGGATTCCCATTTTGTAAATGAGGTCTGTTGACTTTATATTGACTTACCACATAATGGATTGTAAAAAACCAATTTTACTGGAGCAAAATTATACAGTCTTTCACAAGCCTGGCCTGTTGATGCACATTTTTTCCTTTTCTTGTAACAGTCTGCTATAGGATATAATAGGTACTACAAAACTTCATTGCTCTACCCATGCAATTAGAGAAATTTTATTGAAATACAGAATGATAAAAAGAGAAGTCTCCCCTCATATTTTTTTTTCTTTCGAAAACTATCATCAATAACTGTAGTTTGTGTCATGTTGTAGCCACAAAAAAAAATGAGACAGACGTTGATAATTTTTCTGTCCACCAGTCTAGGCCATGCCACTTCATAAGTGTTGGGAATTTGCTGGCTTTGGAGAGGCCAAAGCATGTATTCTCAAGGGGCTGAAAGGAAAATGTTCCACAAATGCCAAGCTGGAGCTTGGCACCATGGTCATTTGGCAGATGAACAGCACTGTACATAAACAAGTAGAGAGAGAGAGCTTAAATTCTAAATATCCTCTAGGGAAAAGATAAAAAACAGTTCCTAGGAACAGTGAACAGAAGCTGTCAGGCAAACTAAGATCACTGATTTTTGTCATGAATGACATGATTATGGCTGTTTGGTCTGGATGGGAATGGATGATTATGCAGT